GCTCATTCCCATTAATGGTGTATCTGACATGATGGAGTTCAATGCCTAACTTAGTGATAATATTTTATTTTAATAACTGCCATTCCAGTGTTTGATTTTTATGAATTTAATGTTCAGTTACTTGACATTCCACATCTGAGTCCCCAAATCCTCAGTAATTACTGGGGGCCCAAGTACATTACCACAGCAATGAAGTATTTGCTTTGGCAAGTACACACTTGTAGAGTGCAGGCAAATAGAAATATTGTTACTGATTTTCAATCTGTTGCAGTAAGACTAAATTAATTTTCGCATTAAAACTTGAAACATTGAAGCTTCTACTGTCTACTTCATTCCTTCATATGTTCAGACAAGAACATGGCCTTCAAGCCTGACGTTTGATAAAATTTAACATTTCGAAACAATCTACTGACAAAGCAGGGTGTACATGTGATGACTGCAGAGAGGTTTTTGCTTCTGATTCGAAAGGTCTCTTCTGTGATAAACTAAGGGAATGAAGAGAGAACATTGAGTGATACAAGAACAATTAGGCCCAGGCAGAGAGTGCAGAATGATTGGAAATGGGAGGACACAGTTTAAGTAACTTACAGACCTACCAAAATTCAAAGGCAGCGTCTTGTGGCTTGTAGCACCACAGAGTCATCACACTGTTGATGGGGACAGCCAGGATCTCTGACATGTTGGTAAGCTTCTACCAGTCTGCATAACTCTATAACTCGAAACACAGTCATCATCATACTCACAGCCATTGAGAACCTTATATCTTAACAAAATTAAATTTGCTGATAGTACTGTTCCTGTAAAGTCTGTCAGGAACTTACAAACTTAACTTTTACATCTCTTCACTTGGAAACAAATATTAACAACATATAGTAAAGTATGTAATGCACAAATAATAATTTAAAAAATATATATATTTTTTAATTTGTTGTCTATTTTTAACTGCTAAAGAAATGCAACCCACTTCTCTGTCACAAAATTCACTAAAGCACATTAGGCCATTCAGGTCAGACAGTTATAAACCTAGGTGCACTTAAAGCATAAAATTTTTCTGCAGAGGTTTTAACAACTCATTTGTAGTTCGGTGTATTAGAGCACTTTTAGGGACATGTGTCCGCAAGCAAATAGCAATTACTAACCACAAGAGCACAGTTGACCTCTTTAAACATAATTATTGAGCCAATAGTTATAACACTGTGAAAAGTCCCTTAACAACAAATGGTCACTGTACCATGGAAATGGCAATAATAAATATTCATAAATTTAACAAATATATATACAGATGTCATGCATTTCATTCAAGTAAAATGTACGAGAAAAAGTAAAAGAGTCAACGTGATAACTGCAGCGTACCTGACAAGATTCTAAACAGCAAATCCAAACTCAGCTCCATTTCCCAGTGAGAAGAGAATCATTCCAAAGACATGGCTTCTCTTTCTTTGATACTTGTGACATACTCATGCTAGATCATTATTTTAGTTGATGGGTTTGGCAGTCTCTAACCACGTGTTCTTTTGCTGAATGAATCAATTCCTAAAGCAAAATTAAGAGAATACTTCAAAATCTAAAGATGTGATTAAGGGTGCAAAATTAAGAGAATATTTCAAAATCTTAAGATGTGATTAAGGGCCATGTGAAACATGCAGAAACTCCAAATTACACAAAGACATAGAGATGCTGGTAGGTGTTCCTACTCTTTGACGTCAAAGTTAAATCTAATGAATACCAAACGAATTTCGTTCATATAATTAACCAAAAGGAAACATTTCTTACCTGGCTATATTGATCTATTCTACACATTAGTAAAAGCGTTGGGATAGCGGCCCATTATTTTTCGATTTTTACTTAACATAAAGTTATGAACTGCCTATGAGGAACTGTTAAATGGACAAGAATCCAGATTCCACAAAGTTGCATGAATTACCCTAATATTCCTCTTGAACTTCACATCATCCTGAGTTTTAAATATCCATAGCTACATAACCTTTCAGAATGAGACCATGATTCACATGACATTTCACTGTGAATGTTGACAGAAATAAGGTGCAGAAGAATTTACATTAAGTTACTAGGTTTTAAATCCTTGTCAGAGTTGCAAGGCATGCATAAAAAGTGTGAAGAAAAGAAAAATAAAGCACTTGAAATTTTCATTGTCTGAAATAAATTAGTAACACAGCCTACCAAAATCCTACTCCAACCCTGAAGATTGAGGCAGCATGGTGCTCTGAAAGAGCATAAGTGGCATAATATTTCACAGTGCAACATCAGGAGACCACAAAATAAAAATGCAGTGGCTTTAAAATATTCTTTGTTTAGAAAACTGCAATTTCTTTGAAACTGGTTTTATGGCTCTTACTGTTGCA